GGGATTGGATATCTGGGAAAGATTTAATTCTCCCTCGCTGATGAGCTAATCTGGCTGGGTAGGTATCTTGGTTGAAATTTTTATCTTCAGGACTTTGAAGATAGCGCTCAAGCTCTCCCTAGCCTGCAGGGTTTCTGTAGATAAATCTGCTGCTATTCTAATTGGTTTTCCATGGTAGGTGATCTGGCCTTTTTCTCTTGCTGCCTTTAGGATTTTTTCTTTTATGCCTACTTTGTTAGGCAAATTACTATGTGTCTAGGAGTTGGTTTTCTCATTTGTTGTCTTGCAGGGGTTCTCTGAATCTCTTGTGTTTGAGTTTTTGCATCACTGATTAGATAAGGGAAGTTTTCTTGAATGATCTCATGGAAGGTTTGTTCCAGTGTAGTGTCTGTCTCTCTTTCTGCCTCAGGAAGGTCAATTACTCTTAGGTTAGGCCTCTTGAGGTAATCACTCATCTCTTGAAGGTTTTTTTTCTGTCTTTCTGAGCTTGTTTCCTGTGTTTTTGAGAGTTTGGGTTAGTTCTATATTTTGGTCCTCAAGCTCTAAGATTCTTTCTTCTGCTTGGGTAATTCTGCTTTTCATGCTTATCAGTTTGTTATTTATTTCATTTAAAGTATTCTTTATTACTGTTATCTCAGATATCAGTTCCTTTCTAGTTTCTTCTTGAGTCTCCTCAATTCTTTTTAATCTCTCCATTAATGTCTTGATGTCTAGGTTTGTATTTTGAGACCAGTCATTCTGGGGGCTCTTCATTCTTTGCATTCCAAAGTCAGTTTTTTCAGTGTCTGGCCTCCCAGGAGTCTGGGAGAGACCCATATTTTTCTTTTGGTTTTTCTTCATTTGTCTAGATTTTTCTCTTGTCCTGTAGTGGCTAAAGTCCCTTGAGCTCTGATCTCCCACCTCTCCTCTCTGTTCTTGTTGCAGGCAGCTAGCCTGTTGCCTTGGAGATCTGTAACTCTTAGTTGTCTCAGTCTGTTCAGCGTAGGGGAGGGCCTTTGTCTTCTGTTTAATGATGCCACCATGGGAACCGAGGTGGAGGCTCTGATAGATGGGCGGGTGATGCAATTCTGCCTTGAAAATGGCAAGGTGGTAGTTTTACTTTCACTTTTAGAGATGCTCGTGTGGGTCTCTAGGTGGGACCAGCTGCACAGCTGGGTGCTGGATCTGGGGTGCCACCAGCAGGCTGCGGTGTATGAGAGGGTCGAGTGTTCCCTCCTCTGGATCTGGGAGCCTCTGATAAGCACCTTACACAAGCTTGGGGTTCTGCTCCCTTACACAGGCTTGAGGTGGCATGCTGAGTGCCTCAGCCAGGGTGGGCCCAGGGCTCCAGATCTCCAAAGCTCCAAAGGGCAGGTGGTGGCCCTGGGTCCCTCACAGGGCACTTCAGCCAGAATTGGGACCGGTATCTCTGAGGGGCGGGTGCCCAGAGCCTCCCTGGGTGACCGGCAGTTTGGTGTTGGATGCTGGTCATGATGATGTAGCCAGGGAGGGAGCAGAGATCCAGGATTCGGGATTCCCCAGCTGGCAGGAATCACATATATAGTGGAGCAGCGGCAGCCGGGCCACAATATCTGGCCCTGTGTGGGACCAAAAGTCCCTGGGCCTCATACCAGTGTGGCTGGCGGTGGGCAGGGGACTGCAGGAAGAAAGGTAAGAGTGTTTTTGGGAACTCACGTAAAGAGAGTCTCACGGATCCACATATGCTGTCGCCATCTTCTGGACGAGTTTAACCTACCCCAATTCTAACCTGACACTTAGTCATATCCTGAACCCCAATCCTAATCCTATTTCAACCATAATTATAATTCTGACTTTTTTCTAGCCCTTATCATATGCTGGACTTACTCTAACCTTGGCTAAATCCAAACCCAACTTCTGGGATTTTAGAAATGAGTTCGTGTATGTTCTAGTGTTGTTAAGCCATTTTCCTGAAAGATGGAATACACAAGTGACAGGGGAGAGATGCTTGCCTCATAAGATTCAGTTCCACTCTTTGGTGTGAGCAGTTCTGAAGATGCTCTCCTGAGGTCAAAGAGAGCAGAAGCAAACTCACTGGCCATGAAGAAACTTATCAGAACAAGAATGTAGGAATTCTTAGAGCCAACACAGCCCTCACTTGGCATTTCCGGAGATCAGCCTCTTATATGTACAGTTGGCAAATAAACCCACTTTACTTCACTTGGCAACATCTAGGAACTCTTATGTTTTGAACACCGAGGAACCTAAGGCGGTACAATAACAACATTAATCTGCTTCTGACTCTAGGTCTTGCCTTAGATAACCACCAAGTTCCTGCCTCCCTTCTGTATGCTTCCATCTCCACCATTTTATTTCCCTTAAAAAATTATAAGAGGCATCCAAGCCAGGGGGACTTTCATCTTTACCTACAGTGACAGGGCCCAGAAAGAGTGTCCGCCTCATCTCTTCATAGTCAAGCCTACCCAGTCTCCCCAGGCCAATCACTGAGGTCCCCACCCTGGACAGCCTAATTGCCTCCAAGTCCGCCCCAGTGCCTCCTTGACCTCCTTGTTGCGGAGGCTGTAGATGAGTGGGTTGAGAGCTGGGATGACAAGGGTGTAGAACACAGAGGCCATCTTGTCAGTGTCCAAGACATAGTTGGAGCTGGGACGCAGGTACATGAAAATGAGAGTTCCATATAGCATGGCCACAGCTGTGAAGTGGGAGCCACAAGTTGAGGCTGCTCGCCGACGGCCCTTAGATGAGCGCATGTGGATCACAGCCCCAGCAATGAAACCATAAGACACGGCAATGGCCAACACCGTGGCCATCTGGATGAAGCCACAGACAGTGAAGAGGAGGAGTTCATTGACACTAGTGTCACTGCATGAGATGGCCAGCAGAGGAGGGATATCACAGAAGTAACTGTTGATCTCCCGAGAGTGGCAGAAGCTCAGGCAAAAGGTGAAGGTTGTGTGGACAGAGGCACTTATGGCTCCTCCCAGGCCTGATGCCCCCAACAAGACCAGACATAGACGCCGTGACATGGCTGTTGTATAGAGAAGTGGGTTTCCAATGGCTATGTAGCGGTCATAGGCCATGGCTGCCAACAGGCAACACTCGGCATCAACCAGCCCTGCAAAGACAAACATCTGGAGGGCACAGGCTGTGTAAGGGATGGTGGCATGGGACAGCAGCAGGTCCACCAGCATCTTGGGGCTAATGGCTGAAGAATAGCAGGCATCCAGCAGGGACAGGTTGGCCAGGAAGAAGTACATAGGTGTGTGGAGCCGGGCATCCACACGGATCAGCAGCACCATGCCCAAGTTTCCCAGCAGGCTCACCAGGTAGATGGGCAGGAAGATCACAAAGAGGGTGACACGCAGGTCCCAGCGATCTGTGATGCCCAGGAGGACAAATTCAGCAGGGGCAACCTTGGGCCAGGTGAGGTTCTCTGGGTTCATTCTGTTGGACAGAGACTGAGAAGAGGAGAGGAGAAAAAGGTCATGACTATCATGGAGTAGAAAACACTGTCCTGGGAGTCAGGGAGATTTGGGTTTCAGTCCACCTGTGCAATAAAATTGCTGTGTGATCTGGGACAAGCCACATAACCTCTCAAAACCTCTGTTTTTAACTCTGAGAGGGCTACCGCAATTTAATCTTCATATCTTTAAAAAAATTTTTTTGAGTTAGAGTCTCACAGTTACCCAGGCTAGAGTGCAGTGACCCAATCATAGTCACTGCAGCCTTGACCTGCTGGACTCAGGCAATTCTTCTGCCTTAGCCTTCTAAGTAGCGCTTCCAAGAATTACAGGTGTGCGCTACCATACACGGCTATGTACTTATTTATGTATTTATTTATTGTAGAGATGAGGTCTTGCCAAGTTGCCCAGGCTAGTCTCAAACTCCTGGGCTCAGGCAATCCTCTTGTCTCCTCCTCCCAAGGTGCTGGGATTACAGACATGAGCCACTGTGCCTGGTGTGGTCTTATTCACTTTTGTATCCATAGTACCGAGAACATTGCCTGTCACATAGATTGTACTCAATAAGAATTTTTTTTTTGAGTTGGAGTCTCATTCTGTCACCCAGACTGGAGTGCAGTGGCTGGGACCTTGACCTGCTGGGCTCCGGCGATCCTTCCACCTCAGCCTTCCAAGTAACTGGAACTACAGGCGCGCACTACCACGCCTGGCTAATTTTTTTTTTTCAAAAATCCATTTAATATATTGTCTTCGGATAGGGGACATATCAGATATTAAACTGATGAAAACAGATATTACACTTGATCTTAGCCAAAAGGCCGAGAAGCGATAATTTTTTAATTTATTGTAGAGATGAGGTCTCGCCAAGTTGCCCAGGCAGGTCTCGAACCCGTGGGCTCAGGCCATCCACTCACCTCACCCTCCCAAAGTGCTGAGATTATAGGCTGAGCCACTGAGCCCTGCCTCAATAAGGATTTGTTAAGTGGATTAATGGGATGATCAGAGTTTAGCCAAAGATTGAACACTTCATGACTCTATATGTATTATCCTCTCCAGTTTCCCAGGGAAGAAAAGAGACAATGAAATGGGCAGAAAGAGCCTTCTGATCCAAAGGGCAGCTAGCTATGGGTCTTGAGGATTGCTGGGAGAACATCTTTCCATTGGAGTAAGACTTGGGAAAGGAGTAGGCTTGGTGGAGAGAATAGAGATTGGAAATGAGGTCTGAGCTGCATCTCCACCTCTTCCAGCCTCAGGTTTCTCATCTGTATAATGGTGGGAGAGCTGCACAGATTCAGTGAGGTAATACATGTGAAGCATCTCACACAGAGCCTTTAATAAAGGTCCAATGTTGAACTGAATGCAGTCTGGATGCTTTGGCTCAATACGGAAGGAAGCAAATTTTAGGCAATCAAAAGTAGTGCAGTTCTCATAAAATGCAACATGGCTCTCACAGTCTTGTGCCTTTGCACTTGCTCCCTTTGTCTGGACCTATTTCCTTCTTTTGTGTTAGACAGAAACTATCTCCAGTGTGATCTACCCTCCAAAAACTTAATTACTCCCTTGTCTGTGCCCTGCTGAACTGGAGCATGCAGTCATCCCCCCTTACCTGCAGAGGATACATTCCAAGACCCCCAGTGGATGCCTGAAACCACAGTAGTACTGAATCTTATATATGCCATTTTTTTTTGAGTTGGAATCTTACTCTGTCGCCAAGGCTGGAGTGCAGTGGCATGCTCACAGTCACCCTAGCACCCACCTGCTGGGCTCCGGTGATCCTTCTGCGTCAGCCTTCCAAGTAGCCAGAACTACAGGCACGTGCTAACACACCTGGCTAATTTTTGATTTACGTAGAGAAGGGTCTCACCAAGTTGCCCGGATTGGTCTTGAACTCGTGGGTTCAGGCAATCCACTTGTCTCAACCTCCCAAAGTGCTGGGATTACAGGCTGACCCACCTACCCTGGGCTATATATGCTATTTTTTCCTGTATATATACCTGTTATAAAGTTTAATTATAGGCCTGGCTCGGTGGCTCAGCCTATAATCCCAGAACTTTGGGAGGCAGAGGCGAGTGGATTGCCTGAGCCTGCGGGTTCGAGACTAGTCTGGGCAACTTGGTGAGACCTTATCTCTACAATAAATAAAAAATTAACTGGGCGTGGTAGCACACGCCTGTAGTTCTGGCTACTTGGAAGGCCGAGGGGAAAGTATCACTGGACCCCAGCAGGTGGACGCTGGGCTGTCCGTGAGTGTGCCACTGCACTCCAGCCTGGGCGATGGAGTGATACTCCAACTAAGAAAAAAAAGTTTAATTATAAATTAGGCACAGTAAAATATTAACAATAACTAATAATAAAATAGAAAATTTATAGCAATATGCTATAATAATAATTATGCAAATGTGGTCTCTTTTTCTCTGTCTTTTTCTTAAAATGTGTTCGTAATATTTTTGGATGGTAATTGACTTCAGAAAACTGAAACGAGAAAGCAAAACCTAAGATAGGGGAGGCTTACTGTACATTTGTCGTACCACTTCTGCAAATATTTTTTGCATGTTTGTCTCTCCTGTGGGCTTTGAGCATTCTGATTCAGTATTCATTCAACAAAGATTTAGTGAGTATTACTGCATGTAATGATTCATTTTTGTATCTCCAGGATCTTATATATAATCAGTGCTCATTAAATATTGGTTGAGTGTATAACACAGTGAAAAGAGTGTGGACATTAGCAGCATGCACACTTGGTTTTTTGAGTCCAGGTTCCACCATATTCTGGTGTGTAACTTCAGGCAAGTTACTTCACCTCCCCTAGCGTCAGTTGTCTCCTTGTAAAGTAGGAACGATAATATCTCCACTTAGAGGGTTCTAAGAGGCAGCAGGTGTGCATCAGAAGGCTGGGAGCTGAATGACATTTTCCTTCCTTTTGAGAGAAGTTTAGATGTTTGGGACCTATCTGTGCCCAGTGAGGGTGATGAAGGTTTCCTACAAAGTACAGATTGGATGAAAAAATTTGGCAATATCACACGTTGGTGAGGTTGTGCTTGTGGAAATGTAAACTGAGATATTTCCTACAACTATGCATACCTCGGGGTCTTAGGCTACTTGGGGTTCTGTAACAAAGTACTATAGACTGAATGACTTAAAGAACACATTTCTTACAGTTCTGGAGACTCAGAAGTCTGTGATCAAGGTGCCAGGATGGTTGGGTTCTTATGAGGGCCCTCTTTGTGGCCTGTAGAGAGGCCTCTTTCTGCTTTCCTGCCTTATTCTGCCATATTCTCACACAGTGGGGAAGGGGGGCAGGGGAAGAGAGAGAGAGAGAGAGAGAGAGAGAGAGAGAGAGAGAGAGAGAGAGAGCAAGAGAGAGCAAGAGAGCGCAAGCTTTATTTTCTCTAAGCCTAATTACCTCCCAAAGGCCTCACCTCAAATACCACTAGAAGATTAGGACTTCAGCATGAATTTTTAGGGGAACTTTTCAGTTCATAGCACCTAGTAATTCCACTTCTTAGTGCTTACTTTTGAAAACCTTCACACACACACACACACACACACACACACACACACACACACACACACACACGAAAACCTTCACACATGTACAAAAGGAAACATTCATGAGAGTGCATGCACTCCTAGATTATTTGTAATGACTAAACATTAGTCAAACCTAAAAGTTTATCAATAGGCTCACGAGAGTTGAGTAGGAAGAGAATCAACCTGTATATGACAATGTGGAAAAACACAAAAACTTAGAGATCAAAACACAGTTTGTAAAAAATATAAAGACTGATGAAAAAACTCAAAACAGTAATATACAGTTTTTAAACATACATATATATCAAATAACTGCTGACTGCTCCAAGCAGAGATGGGGTTCCAGCTAAAGGACCCCAGGGCATCTTAGAGGATTTCATCACCATCCTTTTTATCTTTTTAAGACTCAGCTCAGGAGTCACCTTTTTCAGGAAGCTTTATTTGAACACTTAACTGCCCAATTTCTCATGCTGGAAGCCCACTCACTGTGCTGTCTGTATAACAGCTTTACTCCATTTTTTATATAATTGCCTAAATGTCTTCGCACAACAAATCAGCCATCTTGAGGTCTGGGATCATGCCTAATCCATCTCTCTATCATCTAAGGATGTAGGATTTTAGGTATCTTACCTCTTCTCTTTGGTGGGTCACTGATGGAGGTCAGACAGCCTCCAGGGGTAGAGAACAGGGTAATTCTAGTTTCATCCAACTACATGTTCTCCAAGAATGAAGTTGGTGGCCTGGCTGAAGTTGGTGGCCACTCCTGTGTGTTTCATTCTGTCCACATAGATAGCAAACTCCACTCACCTTTTTACTAGTGAGGAGCGGAGCTGCTTCAAGTACCTCTCTACTTCTCCATCTGTAAGATGGGGACAATGAGACTTCAGGACTTATAAGTTGATTTGAAATTTTGAGGGTATAAAAATTTCAAAACTTCAGTCAAGTAGGTGTTGTGGAAGGTGTGTGAGTTTGTGTGTGCATGCAAAACAGAGTTAATTCTCCATTATCTTCTCTCTCTCGCCTTACCACCCAGCAGGAGCCATCCTGACATTCTAGGGTGTATAGGTCAATGTAAGATTTACCACTAGAACAGGAGAAATCAGGTTTCCACAAAGAGAAACTTCTTGGTTTGCTATTAGGTGCTAATCAATGCTAGAAAGGAATTGCAAGACCACAGTTCCTGGACTTTCTCCTGGTTCCGTTTAGCCTAAAGTTGAATCTTGTCTTTTCTAATACTTCCAACATTCCTGTTTCTGACTCCACATTTGTCTTGCAGTCTCTGGAGTGAAAATTTCTGAAGTCTATGTATCTATTTATGTATGCATGTATGTATGTGTCTATCTATCAACCACCTATCAGTCTATTTTAAATTATCTACTCAACAAATATTTACTAAATGCCTACTATGGGTTAGGCATTCTATGAATGCAAGGGATACAGATGTCAATGTAACACATCTGTTCTTTTTCTT